CCCAAACACACTTGATATGTCTCCAATTAGTTTATCCCTGACAAATGCATCCTAATGTTCGGATTCAGGTTACATTCAGGTGATACAGCCACTCGCACTAATAGGCTAAACAGCACCCTGCCTTCTCAAGATTCGGCTTGCAAAGATGTGCCCAGCTCCACTCTCTCGGGCGCTCTCGATGCTATTGAACGTTCCTATAATCTTGACCCTGAGAATGGAAGGTATATTTTACATGCCTCAGCATTTGACTCTGATCTTAGCCTCTTTCTCTTAACTGCAGCTTAACATTAGCTCTGCCACTACACTCAAAGAAGATACACGCGGTGATTCCTCGTAAGAAACGGATGCGGCACTTGTATGTCTTTGGTATGCTCATGTTCTATAAAATTCTAACCTATTGACAGGATGAGGTGTTGTTCTCTGTCAATGTGCACTCATACTTCGACAAAAAACTAGTCACACACCTGAAGACACTGAACACTCACTTTAACCCAGACACCAGTTGTGCAATGTTGTCCTCTGTCCCTCTTGAATCACTCGACTGGAGGACAGTTCATTGTCATAGTTACAATGGAGATGTGTTTATGGCATTCAATAATAGCAAGCTGCTCCTGTGAGCCGTTGCTGAGGTTGCCTTTAGTGCTCTGGTGGACAGAGACGGTGACCCGGTCCCAACTCCGGCCTTGCGCTTTCGCACTCTTCTCAACCACGATTTCGGTACAGCTGTGCACTTCGTCACCACTAGATGTGAGCCGACTCATGGTACGCTTTTGATTCTTTTTTGGTGTAGGAGTGTAGACTCTAACAACCAACTGTGCAGACGAGTAGGAGAACAGTACGTTCTGCACGTTCAAGTATGTTGCCAGCGAGCAGACTGCTAAAGACCACATATGTTTTATTTTTATTGGTGCGACTTTTAACTGACTTCAACTCATGCTGGCCAGATTAAGCCTTTTGAGCATGTTTACAATGTGATGAAGAGATATTGTTTGAAGAAGAAAATGCAAAAAATTCCTGCATCTCAAATCAAGCTTGGGAACATTGTCCTGGTCGAGTTTCACGTGAAATGGTATGTGCGCAAGCTCTCAGCCAGTGAGGATCGGTTGGAAAACCAGAGTACATCAAGCAACTATTCGTGCAATGGAGGTTCAACTACCTCGAGATGGAACCCAAAGAGGGAGTGAAACGAATGGGATGTATCTTTTAATTTGGAAGCAGTGTCCTTACTGTATCCTGAGTCAGATTACTACCAGCCTCCTGAGCCTGCAAGCAAGGTGGTGGAGTTCTAAATACAATGTTTGTTTCCAGGTCAAATCTTGAATTCTGCACAAACACGTTGTTTATGCATGGGCCCTGTTATACCTCTGAGATCAGGAGACAAATTTGACGTGATAAATGCCGAGCATGCTCAAACCATATAGACATTATGTGAACGCGCTTTTGGATTTGACTTTATGGTTATAATCTCCCTCCAAGTTTTAACCTTGTTTCTTTGTACACATGACACCTCTAACTGACTTTATGCACTGATGATAACTACTTCCATTTTAGGACTACCCGTCTGCTCTGTCCGAACCCTCGATTGCTTATACAGCTTTTCTCTCTATTCTTATCCATGTGGACATCCGGCTCCGCTTAGCAGAACCTGTTTGTCAGCTTTGCTTGGCTCATGTCTCATATAAATGGTGCTCTGCCTATTTGTGATATGATTACGCTTATACACACCAATGCCCGTAACTGCAATCCATCCCGATCTCCATTTCCATGCTGTGCAAGCCTTCACATCGTCTATCAGTGCCACCTCTTTTCACAGGCAAGTATATATGTTCCTGTCCATACAATCTGTTCTAATGAGGTTTACTTCCCTATTTGCCTTTTATATGTATATAGCCTGCCCACTGCTCGTAAAGCCGTGCTTATCGGGACTTGGCCTCTTCTGAAGATTATGGGCCTGGCATGCTCCAGCGCCAGCAGCACCAACAATGTTGACCAAGTTATCCGTGAGCTTTGGGCAAACTGTATTCAAGCCATAACCTCAGACGTAACAGCATTTCGCAATGCGTTGCGCACTACTAGAGCGATTGTATCTGAAAGCACCACGTTATCAATGCTCGACTGTTCCTCCCTGTTCATGCCTAGCAATTTAGACTGCTACACACCAAATGAAGGGTTCGACCCTGTTCTGCAGGTTTCTTATAAACACACTTGGAGTGAAGGAGGTGGCGATCTCATTCACCGAGGTGTATATTGAGGACTTGGATGAGCACCACGACGCTGTATCTAAAATCTGAACAGACTTGTCTGAGAGGCGTTGCTTCAGCACAAAGAGCAGTTCTGTTGATGTCATTCACAGTCGTTCCTTCTGTCTAACATTTCCCATCGTGTTTTTTCACTCGACGTTGGTTATGAATTATTTCAATGCCGACAGCTTCCATATCGCCTACCCTTGGTTACTTCTGGAGCACAAAGGTGTAGTGTCAACCTGCCTTCTACATTTCAGCAACCATGCCACCATTGTGAAGTACCGAGAGTGCAGGTATACATTGCACAACTCTCTGCATGAACTCAGCAAGGGAAATAGCAATTTCACGGCTTGCTTACCCTATGGTATGTGCTATTGTCAGCCACGCTTCTTTAGAGATGGATTAGGGCTATCATACTCATTTGACAACGCAGAGAATTTGAAGACATCTTCAACTTATAAATGCCCATTTTCTGCTTACTGGGTGTGGGGAGGGAATGGTTGTGGTGTGGGCCTTTGTACAGGTCACTTTGATACTACAGTGCATACTGCACTCATTTCTGTGATGTGTACTACTGTGCCTGTATGATAGTAGAGATAGCTTTGCACCTCCGTAACTTAATCATTCAGCTGGCATTTGCCTTCACACACCGACTCACCATGCCATTGCCAACTATAAGCACAGAGCACCATGCATCTGCTGATCCACAAATAGTCATGTGAGCACGACCCCTGGTACTCAGCTGCACTCCATGAATACATTTACATTGTAGAGTTTGTCACAAACCTCCATTGCAAGTCAACCTGCTGCACATTACCTGCCACAGCTCTGTCTGAGTTCATTCATGAATGCAATTTGTATGTCAGCCCGCTGGTCGACGCCATAATTACATGCCTTTTCTGATCTTGCCATTCTTTGCCCCTATTATTTCTCTGTGCTGCTTCATCCATCTCTCCTTACTGATGTATCTGCACTGCGCAAATGGCTGTACGTGAACTACCTACTATATTTGGTGCCCCGCTTGACATTTCTTGGGTTCAGCCTCCACCGACCATGTAACTCTGTCGGGATGACCTCATATAGACAGGAGTAAGTTGTATAAGATTGGGCAGAAAAATAGTGTGTACGATACTTCACTCTTTTCACAATGCCACACTCAATTTGTGATTTGCCTACTGAGCTCACATTAGAAATCATTGACCATCTCAACAATTCCTTTCAGCAGTCAACGGATGAATGCGGGCCTGTACACTTGCACACCCAGAATTCTTTCGCCATCTCACATTCAATCTTGGGTGGAAAGTCGATTACTTGTGAGTATTTGCTGCTTGCTTCGCTGCCAATACACTCCTTGCTGCAAAGGTGAAGTGACTCTCCATTGTAGCCAAAAATGCCTTTGCAGAGTCCGTGCAAGGCACTGCACCAATTTTTATACCTCCTTTATCCGCAGAGGATGTTTGGCACCTGCTACAAATGTTTTTGAGGGTGGACGTACTTGACATCGTTGGGACATTGTGAATCTGATCTCCAGAGATGCAAGATGTTGCTATGGTGCTGCTCGGTGCCTTTCCTACCACAATCGACTCCCACATTCTGACTGTGACAGCAGTTAACCTTGCAGCAGTTGTGTTTGACAAAAACTGCAGTCGCTTGTTTTACCACCTGTTGCACTCCATGCCACACATCCGTTAGCTCAAATTAGCTTGCCTCCAAACTGTGCCTTCCAATCAACGCTGCTCAGAGCCTTGGACTACACCACGTCTATTGCACTTCAAGCTTCATAACGACATGACTGCATGCTCACTAAGACTGTTCCAACACTCTGCATTTGCCCACATCCCCATGTACTCCTCTCTAACCATGCTTTGTGTGTATGCTTTTCGAGTCTATGAGGCTCAGTATCTCAAAGCACTCCTTCACGCATGTTCCAAGAATTTTAAGCAATTCTCTTTCGCCCTCCATGATAACAGTCTTAATACGTCATCTGCAATCTTACGTTACCATCGGTTCTTCACAGGCGCCCTGATTAGGATTATAAACATTTATATGCAATTGTGCCATGTATAAGAAGGGCAAGTTTGCCCTGGGTTCGTAACAAGGAAATAATAATGAGCACACGAATATATGTTAATGAAATTGTGGCACAGCAGAACATTCTCATACAACGTATGTATACACATTATGGATGCTACAGTATAGAGGCTCATATGCTTTGCTACGGCTATGTCAGATTGCAACCCAATCCTAGACAGATGGGAAAATCAGTAGCTACAGGTGCAGCATATACAAGGGCACAATTATATGCGATCAGCAGACATGGTGAGTAAATTAGCAATAAAGTACACACTCGACACTGAGTTTTTGTTTCGATTTTTGAGCTCGTGTTTACCAGCGCCTCGTACACATGCTGTTTACCCATGTTTGTACCTTACTGACCCCAACTTGGTGCTACGACGCTTGGTCTTGAACCACATTCACCACCTGCCTCCGTGATCCTCATCCGTGGATGTGTGCTGAATACAGCCACGTTCCATATCTCTAGCCCTCCTTCGTGGACATGTGCTGAATGCAGCCTTGTCCAAGCTCTCCAGCCCTTCCTCATGGACGTGTGCTGAATGCAGCCTCGCTCCACCTCTCTGGCCCTTCTCTGCGGATGTGCGCTGAATACAACCTTGTCCAATATGCCCACGCTCACCCAATGTCTATTCCATCACACTTCACTGCCTCCTGGCACTCCATACATCACTCTGGCTGGATGACAAGTTTCTGCCCAAGAGAGGACGGGTCTGCTTGTTGGGGTATGTCGTCATCCAGGTGCGTAGTGCTCCATACTTTTTTTTATCTTTTTTTTTCCTTAGTCCACCGTCTCACTTATCGCACCATCATCTGCCACATCGCACCTGCCAGCACCCACCCTAGTGGCAGTAGCAGCAGTGGCCAGCAGCCCATCCCAGCTGTTCAGGCCTGCACAAGTGCCCGAGCTTGTCTGCCCCTGCTGTTCGTCTCTGTTTGTCTCTCCTCCTCCTCCTAAATTGATTTTCACACCCATGACCGAGCTGCTGCACCAGCAGAGCACGTGCTCGCCCTTGCTGCACTTCTCATATGACACCACCGCTGCTGCCTTGGAGGCAGGCCTGTTCTCACACCTGCTCTCACTGCACATTCACATGTCCCTCGAAGAGTGCTTTGCGCTGTTTGCCATGAGCGGGCCCTGCCTCATCTCACCTGTCCTTGCTGGTGCTGGCATCAGCATCGCAGCTGTGCAGGGTGAGTCATCGCTATTCACACTCGTGTGCCTGCT